CCATGTTTCTTGAGTGTTGCTTGAATGTTGTCTGAATATATGAGAGCTCGTAACAGTCACTCCCGACCATCACTCTGCAACTTCAAGTTGCACTTCCAGCAAATCTTGCACTCCGATTTAAATGCTTCAATAGACCGTTGTCAGCGGCGCTTGTTGCGTACGCTCGTATCATTATTGGGATATCCTTCCACAATGATGACAGCGGTTCCCATGAGTCCTCGATTGGCTCTAGTCCTTTCCAAGACACCAGTATCTCGTAACCCTTCCTATTGGGGCTCCACCGGTGCTCTTTGAGCTCGGCCACCGATAGTACAATTCCTTGGGACGCTACGTGCTCTCTGACTTCTTCAGTCACTTCATAATCCTTGTCCGCGTAGTACTTTAGTCTAGACGCGTGAACGTTTGTTTCTACACCAGTCACGAGGTGTCGGACCACAAATGAGTGTACATCCGCACGCACAATCTGATACGGCCCAACCCAAGTAATCAACAGCTTGTCCTGGTGTTTCTGGTCTACTCTAGACCTCAACACAAAGTCACCCACACTGAAATTGGCCTTCCGTGCACCAACCTTCTTGTCTTTGTTCCTTCGGGTTTGCTTCGCACGTTCTTTTTCCACTGCACGATGCATTTTATGAATACTTTCTCGCAGCTCCTCGAGCTTTTGCGATATTAACTCGGGCTGCTTAGTCATCTCCACAACTCGCTTCTGCTCTGGGTCTACACAAAACTCGAGTGGGCTCGGTAGCGGCAGCGCACAGAATAACTCCACAGGAGCCTTGTTCCCAAGTGACGGCAGTGGTGTATGATTTATACTTGCCTTTAGCAGCGGTACAAAAGATGTCCAGTCCTTAATGTCCTTTTTATACTCTAGACAGAGTACTCTGAGCACTTGGATCACGTCACGGTTCACACGTTCGATGCTACCATTGATCCAGGGGCTGTAAGCCACCGTGAACCTTTGTTCGCATCTTAGTCGTTTGCATACGTCTGCTTCAACTGCATTCTTGAAATGGCTACCTTGGTCGCTCACCCATACTGGTGTAATGCCGTACCGGCCGTGCCAGTCTAGGATGGCCGCCACCGCTACAGCACTATTGGGGGTCGCACACGGCACCAGGTCACAGTAGTGTGTCGCCTCATCCTTCAGTACAAGTAGATATTTGTCACTGCCAAATGATTCACCTACAGTGAGAAAATCCCAGTGTAGAACTTCATTTTCGCTCGTGACAACGTAGTGTTTCACCCCAAGGTCGCTGCACCACTTTACCGCCCTTTACATGCTGACACAACAGGCATGATGTCAAAAATTTATCCACTTTTGCTCGTAAATGATCCACAAAAAACTGTCGTTGTAGTTGCTCCATCATAGTGGCTCGTCCTCTATGACCTTGTGCACCACAATGTGCTACGATCATGAGGCGCTGGAGAAGTACCTCCGCTGCTTCTGGGATCCACAGTCTTCCTTTGCAGTACCAACCCTTGCCCGAGTTACCCCGAGTCAAAGTATCCGCTGGTACAGTACTTCTGTGCTGCTCTTGAGCCACAATAATCTCGTTAAGTGTTGGCCACGTGAAGTTTGGGTCGTCAAACGGTCGTATTACCGCTCTACTAGCAGTCTTTGCTGCGTTGTTGCTTGCTATAGTCGATGTAGTGCTCACTGGTCGTGTCGTCAGGGTCCTATCTACCTCCCCTCCTCGACGCTTGGCCTGCATCGTCGGGATCATATCTTCCTTCCCTCGTCGACGCTTATTCCGGCTTACCGGAGTCCTCTCTTCCTCTCCTCGCCTGCGTTTCCGTAACACCATAGCTCGCAGAGCTACACCATTGTCGTGATTGCCAGCCCACCTCGACACCATATCAGCCCACACATTGTTGGTTCCGTCGATATGCTCGATGTGGTAACGGTATTCTGTTAACTTCATTGCCCAACGCAACAGTTTGCCCCTGATGTGCTTCTTGACTTCCTTTCCTGGCGCAAAGACGTAGATTAGATTGCGGTGATCGCAAAATAGCCGGAAGCCTTGCGGGCGTAAAAGCAGATAGCTGAGTCGATCACATGCACAAATGATTGGGTACGCTTCTTTCTCGATGACACTCCAGTTGCGTTGCGAACCCGTAAATGTGCCGCTTACGCACACCAAAAGCTCATGCTGTTGTTCTACTACAGGTTTCCCAGTCTGCCACTTGCGCACTTGACTCACAATGATGCCGAAGCCAATATCGGATGCGTCAGTGATGAGGCACATCACTGCCTCTGGATCAGGGAAAGCCAGACTTGCTGCATTTGCTAGCTTGTCCTTTAAGCCATCAAACGCCTCTCGTTCGCTGTTTGACAACTCTATGCCAATTCCAGACGCTACACGTTTTGTCTTCTTTGATGCAGTAGAAAGTACTTGATCCAGCTTTTCCTGTAGTGGTTTAGCTGCTCTGGCGAAGTCCACAACACTCTCACGCATCCAGTTGGACGCACAGAGAAATTGCTGTAACTCACCAGCATTGGTAGGATACGGTACGGTACTCAACGCTTTAATACGCTCCGGGTCGTGGCTCACACCAGCACCGGTAATGATCTTACCACACCACTTAACCTCCGATTCGTACAGACTCGACTTCGACACACTCAGTTTAAAGCCA